AGCTGTGAAGTAGGCAGGAAAGTGGTTATTACCATTTTATAGCTCAGGAAGCCCGTCCGGAGGGGCAGCATTATGGTGTAATCTGAGGTTGCTGTGTATTTTATACTTCCCTTCCCCAAGCCTCAGTTTCCTCATCTTTAAGAAGACTGGAGGACTAGATGATCTCTAAGGTCTTTCCGGTTTAGAGTGTATGATTCCATTCACGATCCTGGAATAGGGTATGAAAACCAGCGACCGATACGCAAGGCCATAGGAAGTGTGTCCCACGGTGATGGGAAGGCGGTAAACTTTATGCCAATAATAGTATGAGGGATGCCTCTCCTTCCAGACAGCTTTCCTCCAGGAGGCGCACAGGTGGTGGTGGCAAGTGGCAGTCTAGATTCTGCAGGTGGGAGCGGGAAAGAACTCTGCGATTCTACGCAGAATGACAGGGAGTGGCCCCACCGTCTCCAACATGGCAGCTTCCATTCAGCGAAGCCCTGTTCTCACTTCCGGGTTCCGTACCGCTGGCCAGGCTACTTCCGGCAGCGCGATGGCTGGGTTCCCGGGACTCGAACGGAAGTTCCGGCGGGGGCGGCCGAGGGGGAAGAGTGTGTGTCTGTGCGGGAGAAAGAGGAGAATCGCCCGAGCGGTCTCGAGAGCCCCAGGGAGTGGAGGTACCCGGGGCCGGGGCCGGGGCCGGGGCCGGCGGCGGACGGAGGGGGTGTAGGGGGGGCCGGAGCGCCTGGAGGGTCCGGGGAGTGGGGAGGGGGAGACGCGATTGTGAAGAATGGGGGCGGGGAGTGAGGTGCGAAGGCGCTGTCCAGTCTTGGGGACTTTGGGAGTGGGGCGGGGCTGGGCACGGGAGTGCCCGGGTATGATGAGAGGGACTTTGGGGTCGGAAGTGGAATATCCCATTGTGGGGCAGGAGCTTCCCCAGGGTCAAAGGTAGAGAGCCCCTTTGTGGGCAGGTGTGAGTCCTGGGTCAGGGTAGAAAATGTCACTCTGGGGAGGGGCTGACCCTTGGTCAGAACAGAAGTTCCCATTGTGGGGAGTGGGAGACCCTGGGTCAGGGTGGAAGTTCTAAGCGTGGGGAGGGAGACACTAGGCCAAGGGGGAAGGCACCCCGCTGAGAGGTGGAAGTCTCCACAGTGGAGAAGGAAGGGAATCCCAGCTGAGCGCGGGAGGCGCATTACCCAGTGGGAAGAGGGACCCCAGGGTCAGAGGTGAAAGATCCCACTGTGGGAGGTGCCTCAGGGGCACCTGAGATAGAAGGTGGAAGCCAGTTGGGAGGGGTGGGCGCCGGTGGGAAGGGCAGGCACTTAGAGGCAGGTAGTGGAAGCTTCCGGGGAGTTTGGAGGATGCTAAGGAAGGGGAGGGGCCAGCCAGCCTGACATTCTTTTGTGTTTGGGAGTCCCAGAGTGTGGTTAAGCTGGGGGCCCATTTGGAGTCAGTGGCAGCAGCAGCAGCAGGTAGCTCCTTGGGGGAGGCGGGGTGTGGACCACCAGTTTGGAGTGGGTGGTGGACAGGAGTCGTTATGCTTCCTGGGGGCATGGGCAGCCCCCAGGGGCTGTGAGAACAGCTGAGCCAGAAACTGCTGTGCAGGTTGGATGGGGGCTGAATGGGAGGAGGGAGGTTGGAGATTTGGGGGTGTGGGGGGAGTAGGGGCTGGAAGCATATTTCCCTGTCATTTTTCTCCCCTTGGTTTCCCAGTAGCGCCAGGAGTTGGGGCGGACGGGACCCAAGGGCTCTAGAGAAGGGCTGATTGGAGAGCAGGGAGGAGGCAGGTAGCCGCTGAGGAGACAGCGGGCCGGCCACAGGGACACCCCACAGCCCCAAGCCCCCAAGCCCTGCCTCTGCCTATCTCCAGCAAGCTCAGGGACATGAGTTCTGAGCCACTAGGGTGGCTGCCTCTGCCTTTCAGCCCTGGAATGGAGGCAAACTTCCTACTCCTCTGCCCAGGGACTTCTTGCCTACTTCTCTTTGTGCCCGGGACAGAATCTGGGTGCTGTGTGGGGGCTGATGGCCTGGGAGGGCCCTTTGAGCCGGGAGTCTGTCCTCTGCCTGGCCTTGCTCTTGACCACTGCCCCCGTGGTGCAGGCCCCCGCCGTGGAGCCCTGCGGTGTATGTGTGGTAACACCATGTCTGTGCCCCTGCTCACCGATGCTGCCACTGTGTCTGGAGCTGAGCGGGAAACGGCTGCGGTAAGGATCCCCTTTTACCTGTGGCAGCCGCCAGGGCTCACTTGGTGTGGAGGGGGTGTGGGAAAATGGAGGTGGCAGTGATGAGAAGGGAGTAGCCCGAGGCCAGGAGGCTCACTTGGGGTCCATAACCTGTTTGGCTGCTACCTTAGTTCTGCCAGGTCCTTGGGCACTGGGGAGTGGTGGGCAGAAGTTCAGGACCTGGGGGAACCTCCCCATCTCCCCATTTCTCATCCTTTTCCAGGTTATTTTTTTACATGGACTTGGAGACACAGGGTGAGTGAGCCAGGAGGGCTGCTCCTTGGGGAGGGTGCCGAGCCCAGCAGGCAGGGCTGGAGAGGCTGCCGCCCTCCCTTTCTCTTCCTACATCCGTCCCTTTCTCCCCTTCCTCCTACAGGCACAGCTGGGCTGACGCCCTCTCCACCATCCGGCTCCCTCACGTCAAGTACATCTGTCCCCATGCGTGAGTGTCACCCCAGCAAGGGAGGGGCTGAGGCTGGGGATCAGCCAGGGGGTGGTCCTGCGGCCCTGGGCCTGTTCTGTCCTGTCAGCTGCATCCTGGGGCTGGGGCTCAAGGCAGCCAGAAGTGCCATTTTCAACCTCAGCTCCTGCAGCACCCCCAGGCATGGGGCCCAGCACCAGCCCCCAGCCCTGAGGTCTCCCAGAACCAGCACCTCCCTGTGCCCCTTCCCCAAGCACTCACCGGCCGCTGGGACCCCATCACTCCGAGTGTTGGGCTCTGCTTCTCCTTCCTAGCTCTGATGCCCCAACCACAGGCTCCAGCCCCACGTGGGAGGTTGCCTGGCAACACCTTAAACACAGGCCCTGCCTGCTGGGAGGGGCCCCCCCGGGGGTGGCTCTGCCCTCTCTGGGCTCTCTGCTGTGGCTTTCTCATCCCTCCTGAGCATCGTGGCCCTCTGGCTGTCCCTCCCCAGGCCCAGGATCCCTGTGACACTCAACATGAAGATGGTGATGCCCTCCTGGTGAGTTTGGGGGTGGCGGTGATGGGATTGGAGCTGAGGGAGCTGCAGGGGGCTGGCCAGGGTCTTCCAGGACCTGCCAACACCTCTGCTTCCCCAGGTTTGACCTGATGGGGCTGAGTCCAGATGCCCCAGAGGATGAGGCTGGCATCAAGAAGGCAGCAGAGAACAGTAAGGCCCCAGCCCCCCTCAGCATCCTCCCTCTCCCGCCCCGCCGGGAAAGCACTGGCAGTGCCTCTGCCAGGCTTCCTTTCTGGGCCCCTCAGCAGCTTCTCCCCACCCACTGACCCCCTCCCCCAGTCAAGGCCTTGATTGAGCACGAGATGAAGAATGGGATCCCTGCCAATCGCATCGTCCTGGGAGGCTTTTCACAGGTGAGGGGAGAGAGGGGGTGGGGCTGGGAAGGTGAGCTGTGCCCTCATGACCTCTCATTCTCTCCTTGCTCCAGGGTGGGGCATTGTCCCTCTACACAGCCCTCACCTGCCCCCACCCTCTGGCTGGCATTGTGGCATTGAGCTGTTGGCTGCCTCTGCACCGGGCCTTCCCCCAGGTGAGTGTCCCCAGAGACCCCCTGTCCTGCCCTTTGGCTTTCCTGTGGCTTAGAGATTGAGCTGCAGTACTGGCTTTGCCCTCTGGGTCCTGTCTGGCCCACAGGCAGCCAATGGCAGTGCCAAGGACCTGGCCATCCTTCAGTGCCATGGGGAGCTGGACCCCATGGTGCCTGTACGGTTTGGGGCCCTGACAGCTGAGAAGCTCCGGTCCGTTGTCACACCTGCCAGGGTCCAGTTCAAGACGTATCCGGGTGTCATGCACAGCTCCTGTCCTCAGGTCAGTGGGGGGACCACACCCACCCATGTCCTTCCTCTGTCCTCTCTCTAGCCAGGGGCCTCTCACGTTCCCCCTTTGCTCCCCACAGGAGATGGCAGCTGTGAAGGAATTTCTTGAGAAGCTGCTACCTCCTGTCTAGCCAGAGTTGCTGGCCCCCAGCACAGTCCCCCAGCTTATGGGGGACCCAGCAAGCAAGCGTGGCACCATCTTGGATCTGAGCCGGTCGAGCCCCTGTCCCCACCCTTCCTCACCCTGTCCTCTTCCCACAGGCCTCTGGGGCAGATGGCACGACCTGCCAGGCCTTCCTTCCTGGCCTCAGCCTCCTGGCCCTGTCTGCAGCAGGGGTAGGCTGCTTGCTTATCCCATTTCCCTGGCGGCAGGCGCCCCTGGCAGCAGTACTGGAGGGACTGTAGGCAGCTGGAGAAAGGGGCCCAGCCGCTGACCCACTCACTCAGGACCTCACTCACGAGCCCCGCTTTGGGCCCCCTCCTGTGACCTCAGGGTTTGGCCCATGGGGCCCTCCCAGGCCCCCACCCCAACTGATTCTGCCCAGATAATCGTGTGTGTCTCTCTGCCTCCACTCTAGCTGCTTCTCAATCATGAATGTGGCCAGGGCCCCGGGGCCCCCTTGCTGCTGTGGGCTCCCTGCCCTGGGCAGGAGTGCTGGTGAGGAGGTGGAGTCTTTCGAGGGGGCCTTCCCTCAGCTGTTCCCCCGACTTGGGGGCTGGGCCCTGCCTCCCCATTATCCTCCTCCCTGTGGGCCTGGAGCCTGCAGGGCTGGACTGAGGCTCAAGGTCTCCCCCAGCTGTCTCACCCCCACTTTGTCCCCACTTTAGGGCAGGGAGGTGGTGGGGGAGGAGTTGTGTCTCGTCTTCTGTCTCCATGTGGTTTTGGGTGTTTTTTTGTTGTATCCTGGATTCCGATAAAATTAAAGAAATTAATTGCTTCCTCAACTCTCAGGCCTGGCTGATTCTATCCGGCGGGTAGAGAGTGACCGTCTTCAAGAGTCTGCCCCAATGTAAGAAAACTTTTTTATTTTAAATACTTTGGAAAGCTTCTTCAGAGCAGTATAAATTAGTGCCTGGGAGGAGGGGGCTTTTGTGGAAGAGCCCTGACCCCTCACACTCGCTCTTGGTGGTCCCGATGAGTTCCCAGACCCTGTGGAAGGTGGGAGTTAGAGACCCCTGACTCCTGGTCAGTGGAGCCCTTGGCCTCATGCCTGGTGGGCTGCGTGGGCCCAGCCGGGGTTTGAGGTAGGGGAGGCCTTGACTTGGCCCCAGAGGCTCTGGGCCTTGGGTCCTGCCGGAGGCTGGAGAGCAAGCAGCTGCTTCTCTTTTCCTTTTCTGGTCCATGGTTGGGGCGAGTCCTCAGGCCTGCATGCCAAAGCCTGAAGGATTCTGCTTCTGCCAGCGCCATAGATCTTCACCTGTGACAGAGCAAGGTGTGCGGTCAGGTCCACACTGGAATGCAGGGCCTCCCCCGGACCTCTCAGGCATCCCTGGGTGGGCATGCCCAGATCTGATCAGCCTCTCCCTAGCCCCTCTCTCCCAGGGGTCAGGCGGCACTCACACATCCTGTCCAGCCCTAAGGCTGCTGTCCAGCCCAGCTCCTCGCGGGCCAGACTGGGGTTGGCGTAACAGGCAGCCACATCACCTTCCCGCCGTGCCACCACCTTGTATGGGATCTGCAAGAGATGGTTATGTGGCTCAGCTGAGCCGGCCCTGAGCCCCACCTGCCCAGCTGCCAGCCAGGTCAAGAAGCAGAAGTGCAGAGCAGTGTCTTGCTCACGGGCACCTGGCACTGGGGTGCTAGCTGGGCCGAGGAGACTGGGCAATGCTGGGGAGCCCACTGGGCAGGTGAGGGGGAAGGGCCAAAGCTCTACTGCTGCTGAGCGTCGGGTGGGGTGCGTGGCCGGCCTACCTTCTTCCCAGAGGCCTTCTCCATGGCTCGGACCATCTGCAGCACTGAATAGCCTGTGCCAGTGCCCAGGTTGTAGATCTGCCCAGGAGAAAACAGGCTTTGTGGAAGGGGCTAGACGAACCAGCTCTCTGGCCTGGTCTGCCGGATGCAGCCCCTCCCCACCCTCGCTTCTCCCTTCTGTGCCTACCCGGCAGCCACACTGCTCCTTCAGCTTCCTCAAAGCTGCGATGTGGCCTTTGGCCAGATCCACCACGTGGATGTAATCTCGGACGCCTGCGGGGGAGGGTGGGGTTGGGTGGGAAGTTGGCTGCACCTCAGTCTCCCTCCTGGCTCCCACTCCTGGGTCCTCCTGGGACTAGGCTCACCTGTGCCATCCTCCGTGTCATAGTCGTTGCCAAAGACATTCAGGGCCTCCCGCCGCCCGATCGCCACCTAGAGGTGGAGGTCAGGTCAGCTCCTCCCAGGTCCCCAACACCAGCTGTAACCCTAGGGCCACTGGCTCTGCCCCTACCCTTCTCTCTTACCTGGGAGACATAAGGCATGAGGTTGTTGGGGATGCCCTGGGGGTCCTCACCGATGCAGCCAGAGGCATGGGCACCCGTGGGGTTGAAATAGCGCAGCAGCACGGCGTTCCAGGCCTGTGGGACACAGGTCAGACGGTGGGGGGCAGGGATGCAGGCAGTGTGTCCCAGCTGAATGCAGAGCCCTCTACCTCCCCGCCATGCCTGTCCTCTCGCTCTAGAAAGAGAGAAGGGGCTGGGGCCCTCGCTGCCAGTGCTGTGACCTTGGGCGAGTCACTGCCACTTCCTGAAGCTTAGCTTCCTCCCTGGAGGGGGTGCTCAGAATCCCCTCCTTAGGCTCATGGGGGTGGCAGGGAGGGCTGTGAGGAGTCAGTCGACCAGTCAACGAGCAGAGTGGGGGCTGGGTCAAGGGGGCGCTCACCTTGTCTGCCTGGCACAGGTCCCGGATCATTTCCTCAATGAAGAACTTGGACTTGCCGTAAGGGTTGGTACAGCCACCCGTGGGGTGGGCCTCATCCAGGGGCAGGTACTGGGGGTTCCCGTACACAGTGGCGGAGCTGCTGAACACCAGGTTCTTCACCCCACAGGCTCTCATGGTCTGGCCGTGGAGGGGAGGCGTCAGTGGCCTCTGCCTCACATGTTCCCACCTGTCACACCCTGTTACTCTTCCATAGGGGGGTGGGGCTGAGCTGATGCGCACCCTCCTTTACACATGGGGAAACTGAGGCTGGGAGGTAGAGCCGTGTGTCCAAGATGACACAGCTTGGGCGCTGTTTCACACCGCCTGCCAGACTGGGGCCAGCTAGGCACCTTCCCAGTGTCTGCGTCCCTGCCCCATGCCTCTCACCTCCAGAAGCTGGATGGTCCCTGTCAGGTTAACTCTGTAATAATCCAGAGGCTTTTGCACCGACTCGCCCACGGCCTTGAGCCCCGCAAAGTGGATGACCGCCATAAAGCTGTGCTGCAGGGACAGAGCCGGGGTCAGAGGTTGCTTTACTGGCCCTAGCCCTCGGCAGTGCCCCTGCCTCTCTGCCTGCCAGGCACCCACCTCTCTGAAGAGACGCTGTAGGGCTGCCTGGTCCAAGATGTCCATCTCCTCAAACTCCACAGAACGGCCTGTCAGCTCCTGTACCCGCCGCAGGCTCTCAGGCATAGAGCCCCCTCCTGGTGGTGCACATGGAGGCCACCAAAGTCAGGAGATGGGGCGCTGGGTCCCCAGGGACTAGACACACACACACACACACACACACACACACACACACACCCCCAACGCAAGCACCCTCGGTGGTGGAGGTGGAACCCAGGGTGCTCCCTCTGCCGCCCCCTCCAGAAGCCCCAGCCCCACTGTCACTGCTCACCACGGAAGGCGTTGTGGAAGTTGTCGATGACTACAGGTGCATAGCCAGCCTCCAGCAGCTCGAGCACCGTGTGGCTGCCGATGTAGCCAGCCCCGCCTGTTACCAGCACCTTCTCTGCCATGGCACCTGTGCCCAGGACACAGATTCTCAGAGGTAGCTGAGGCTGCCTGCTCAGGGTCCCTTTCCCTTCCAGAATCTGGCCCCCTGAGCTCACCTTGGAGGTGGCAGTGTGCCCTAGGTAACAAGTAGCTCTGAGGTTAGCACTGGGTCAAGTCTGGGTACCATCACTTTCTGGCCTTAGGCTTCCAACATCACTTACCCCCTCTTGGTCTGAGTTCCCATCCCTAAAATGGAGCTAATAATTGTACAAACGTCACGTGGTGGTGTGAGGGTTAAATGAAGTGACTTTAAGGACTGCCGCATGTACAGGTGGGGAGACTGAGGCACAGGCAACATATTTTCTAGTTCCTATTGACCCAGAGTTGGGAAGGTGGAATCTGAGGATCCACACTCCCTTCCCCAAGGTGACTGGGGATGGGAGAGTCCTGGGTGGAAGGAAATACGGCCGCAGGATTGGGACTCCAGGGCCCCAGAAGGAGATTTGTGGGCTCAGACTTAGGCCTCCCGAGCACCTCCACCACCACTAGCTCCTGCCCTCAGTGACTAACACCTCCTGCTCTAGGCAGCCCCCCACTTCCCTCAAGGGTCAGCTGGGAGGAAGCAGGAAATATCCAGATAGCCCCAAGGGTGGGGTCCTTTGCCAGGCGGTCAAGCCCAGCTCCGGGCTGCAGCACCACAGTCCTGAAGTGGGCCCCCCCATCCCGCCCCGGGCTGAGCCTCTGCCCATGCCCGGACCAGCTGGCCACTCCTGGCCACTCCTGGCTCAGAGCTAGGGATCCCACCCAACTTTATGCCGCCCTGGTCGGCCAGTGTAGACGTGGACTTGGCCAGGTGTGCATGTCCGCCCTAAACAACTCTGCAGGCAGAGGGGGCGGGGCGGACGCCCCAGACACTGAAGCCTTTCATTCCCAGAGACCTGGCCCGCTGCCGCTTCCTCCAGGCTGCCTCCATCCCCTCTGGGCTCCTCCAGCTCCAACCCACTCGACTGAGCGCCCGTTGCGTGCCAGGCTCTGTACCGGGCACCTCTGCTTTATTTTCCTGATTCCCCAGCATTTCGAGGCAGGTGTTATTACTGGCACTTTACAGAGAAAGATACTAGGGTCCGAGGTGAAGCATTTGCTTGCGGGCACACAGCTAGTGATAGCCGAGCGGAATCCGGACCTCCCGCCTGGCAGCCCGGCCCGTCTCCGGGCACTTCGCCCTTCCCCCCACCGCTCCCTGCTGGACTCTGCCCCGACACCGCCCCCACCCCGGCTGGCCCGCAGAGCCCGCGCACTGTGCGGACCCGGGAAAGTGGTCGCGGAGAGGCCGTGGGGTCAGGCAAGCTGCTGTGAGACCCGCTTCGCTCCGGACCCGTGGAGTGACCTTGCTCAGCTTCCTCAGTTTCCCCTGTCTGTGGATAGAGGGGAGGGCGGCTTGGCCTTGGGCTGCGCTTTGGGCCGTCGGGCCGAAGGGCGCCAAGCGAGGAGTCCCCAGGCCGGGAATGAATGAACCCGGGCGGCCCCAGCCTCGGCAGCGGGGAACTGAGGAGAGGGGGCGGGCCCGCCCTGGCGGGATTCTGCCCGCAGGACAGCCGGGCCCTCCTTAAACTCCCTCGCTCCCCACGGACCACCCGGCTCCTCCCGCGCCCACCCGGCCATTCGTCCCACCTCCCGAACCTGCTCAGGCTCCCGCGCCCCGCGCTGGCTCCAGCGGCGCCGCCTCCCGCCCCCCGAACGGTGGTCCCTTTAAGAGCAGACGGCCCAACCTGATCCCGCCCCCTCCCCGCCCCCAAGGAAACGTGTCACTTGGGTGGCGGCCACTACGGTGACGCCGGGAGGACAAAAGGCCTGTGCAGGGTTGATGCCATAGCGCGGAGCTCTCCCACGGAGGGCGGAAGTGGGCGGTGCCACCCCTGAGGGGGCGGGCAGCCGAGGAAAGCCGCGGGCCCCGCCCACGTGCCGGGAGCTGGGCACAGAGGGCCCCAGTTCTAACCCGCAGGTTTTCAAACTTTCCGGTGTCTGCCAATCCCGTAATTCAAACTCTTGCATGAAATATCCGACTCCGGGCCGGGCGCGGTGGCCCACGCCTGTAATCCTAGCACTCTGGGAGGCTCAGGTGGGAGGATCGCTTGAGCTCGA